GAGCCATTATTTACTGAGATGTGCTGTGCACAAGGAGCTGTGCGAGTTGTTATGAAAAATGCAGAGACCTGATCGGGGCCTCTAAGGAGCTCACATTGTAGACAGGGAGACAGATCATTAGCCGGCAGGAAAAATTCAGTAGATGTGGGAGCATGTCCCAAAAAGCAGTGACATCCACACTGAATCTTCACGGAAGAGGGACACCAGTGTGAGCATGATGGGCATCCTTATTCAGGGGTCAAGGATTTCACTTTGCGTTAAGATTTCGCCAGGTTATATGACGCATACACAACCATCATAATAAAGAAATTGTTAAATCCAAATAACTGTACCATTAAGACCTTTTTGGATAACTTTGTCTTATGATACCTTTCTGTCTTATCATTATGTTAGAGAACAGTGTGGTCCACTGTATTAAACTGGCCTATGTTGTGGCCAGTGAAGAGCAGTGTAAACGATTTAAAAGTAGTTAAGTCATTTAATATTCTCATGGTAAAACAAATAGAAGTTACAAATTTAATATCTTAATCACATTTTCCCCTGTACCTCTAGTACCTCTGAGAATAAGGCTGCATCCCAATTGGGACTCTCACTTGCTTTGCATAATGTCATTCATCACAATAAAGGTCAGTTGAGAATGGAAATCTCAAATATGATAACGATGGTACCTTATTTTTCCATAACACATAAGCTCTAAAACACCTTACATGGTTTTTTAAAAAAAGATTTATTTATTATTTATTTGAAAGTCAGAGTTTCACAGGAGAGAGAGAGGGGAAGAGAGGGGGAGAGAGGAGGGAGGGAGATCTTCCATCCGCTAGATCATTCCCCAGTTGGCTGCAACAGCCAGAGCTGTGCCAATCTGAAGCCAGGAGCATCCTCCGGGTCTCCCATGTGGGTGCAGGGGCTGAGGACTTGGACCATCTTCTACTGCTTTCCCAGGCCACAGCAGAGAGTTGGATCGGAAGAGGAGCAGCCGGGACTCGAACTGGCGCCCATGTGGGATGCCAGCACTGCAGGCGGTGGCTTTACCCACTATGCCACAGTGCCGGCCCCTCCTTACATGGTTTTACTTTGGGCCATATGCAGGAGAAAAGGCAGTATAGGACAGAACTATAAGCTTGCATTGTAGAATAGAAGTTTTTTAAAAATTTATTTTTTTATTTATTTGAAAGACAGTTATATAGAGAGGTAGAGAGAGAGAGGTCTTCCATCCGCTGGTTCACTCCCCAGATGGCTGCAATACGCGGAGCTGAGCCGATCTGAGGTCAGGAGCCAGCAGCTTCTTCTGGGTCTCCCATGTGGGTGCTGGGGCCCAAGAACTTGGGCCATCTTCTACTGCTTTCCCAGGTATATTAGCAGGTAGCTGGATTGGAAGTGGAGCATCCAGGAAAAACTGGCATCCATATGAGGTGGACCCACTGGGCCATAGTGTCGGCCCCTGTAGAATGAATTATTACTAGTGTTTGTTATTCTGTCATATAGATTTTATAGGCAATTTGTACAGAAATAATCCCTTTTTGTTGATGCTTTTGTTCCTCCATACATATAATGCGGATCACTGAAACCATCATCTGGTTGTCATCTGGGATGAGTGAGATTCTCCTTTAATCCTTAGATTTCTGAGCATGTTTCTTGCCATTCCCATGGCCTTGAAACAGATGCTAATTCATGTTTTAATATACAAATGTTGGCAAATAAAACTGTTAAATTTGAAGCATGAATTATAAATTCAACTTCGTTGCCCTAACACTAATGATAATGGTTGTACAATGTTTATAGAATGTTTCTGATATACTGAGTTCTGAGCTGAATATTTTACTTACAGATCTTATTTAAGTCTCATAGTTACCCTATGAGGTAGGTGTTATATCCATTTTAAGATGGATTTATAACCATTATGGCATATAACTTTTTTTGTTAAAAGAACTATTTTATTTACTGGAACAACAGAGTTACGGAGAGAGAGAGACAGAGAGAGAGACAGATGGAGATCTTCCATCTCCTGGTTCACTCCCCAAATGGCTGCAAATGGCCAAAGCCAGAAGCCTGGAACTACATCCAGGTCCCCACATGGGTGTCAGGGACCCAAGTATTTGGGCCATCTTCTGCTGCTGTCCCCGTTGCAGTAGCAGGGAATTGGATCAGAAGTAGAGCAGCCGGGACTTGAATTGGTACTCATATGGGATGCTGTTGTCCCTAGACGGCAGCTTAACCTGCTGTACCACAGTGCTGGCACCTTATCACATTTAATATTTCCAATGCTCAATTTTGGAACTTTGAACACAATGAACTATGTACATATGTGTGGTGAATGTATGGGTACTTCAAAAAGTTTATGGAAAATTCAGTTTTTTAAAAGGTATGTTTATTTTGTACAAAAAGATTTTGGAATCCATGCAGATGAGGAATCTTCCAAGGTTTATGACAAATGAATTTTTATGAATAAATTATGCATGATTTCAAAATTCTTTGCACCAAAATAAACTTACTCTTAATTCATTTTTCCATGTACTCCTTGAAGTGTGTGTGTGTGTGTATTTTGCTCATTCAACAAATATTGATTGATTGATAATTTATGCATTAGGCTGCTGTGCTGAGCTTTGAAGATACTGTGATATGAGGGGACACCTTGCCCTTAAAGGACTTAGGATGTAGTGGCAGAGATGAATTTGCTTATGAAGCAAGCCCAAGAAAACATGCTCATTGCTTTCATAGGGACAGGTACAAGGAGGTGGGGAAAAATGGGAGAAGAGGAACTCAGCTTTCTGGATGCTATCAGGAATGTCTTCACAGGAAAGCAGCCCTGACTGTAAGACATGAGCAAGCTGGAGAAGATGAGGCATGGGAGGGACAGGAGAGCCAAGGGCATAGGGAGGCTCTGCTGGGGAGCTCCATGGGTTCAAGTGCAGCTGAAGGAGAACCCTAGTTGATGGGGTCAGACCACAGGGAGCCTTGCAGACTACTCAAGGAATTGTAGGTGTTAGACTATGTGAATTAAAGAAACTACCCACAAATTAATTCAATAAACAGTAATGAAATCGTCATGAGTAAGGGATGTCTTTCCTTTCTTCCTCACTCCCCACCCCCCAACTTCCTTTATCACTTATTCATTCAGCAACTTTGTATTGAGTGCCTTTCACATGGTGTTCAGTTCTCAAGATAAAGGGATGGGCGAGAGCATACATGCTTCTGCCTTCCTGGAGTTTTCTACCTCGGGGGGCAGGGGGAACAAGCATTAATCAACTGAGCAATCAGAAACTGTGAAATTACGAAGGTGACCAGTATGACAAGGGAGAGGGATGCCATAAATGTAGTAGGAGTTCCAGAAGACATTAGGAGAGAGATAGTAGAGAAGTTGACTTTGGTACCAAAAAATTTGAAATTCATGCATACAATGGATCTTCAACAAGTTCATGTAAAATGTGTATTGTGATAGATCTATGCATGGATTTCAAAACTTTTTTTGCACCAGGAATTATCTTTTAATCTCGTTTACCACAGGGTTTTTGAAGCACTCTTGTACATACACATACTGAAGGAGAATTATGTGACTTGCGATTTTGTTGATTTCTTCACATGGTCATATCTAATTTGTGTTGCAGTGACTTTTTAAGACCTATAGTTTGTAGAATTTGTAAATAGGTAAACATGTTTAAGTTTTTAAAATTATGTTTCATAGGTAGAATTTTTTTTCTTTATTTCCATATCTACTTGGAGATCCATACATGGTTTTTCATATTATTACCTGCCTTCTTTCTAATGAAATTTAGCCATTGAGGTGGGGTTTGCATTTTAGATTTTCACTTACTGTTTTGATATCTGGATTTGGGGTTGCCAGGCATTTAAAAAGATTTGAAAGGCAAAGAGACAGTTCACTCCATGAATGCTTAGAATGGCCCCAAAGCCAGTAGCCAGGAACTCAGTCCAGTTCTCCCACATAGTGGAAGCAACCCAGTCATTCAGGCCATCACTGCTGCCTGCCAGGGTCTGCATCAGCATCAAGCCGGAGTCAGGAACAAAACTTGGTAGCAAACCCTGGCACTCTGATGTGGGACGTGGCATCTTAAGAAGAGTCTTACTGCTAGACCAGACACCACGCCTATCACACATTTTTAATTTACTAGAATAACCACCAGTTTACTGTTAATTCAAGTATCTATATCTTGATATCAATTGAGCTTGGGAATTAAAGGACAGAACCAAAGAGTGAAGGATATTAAGATTTAAGTGCTCTGTTAACTCTGGGGAAGAAAGAGATGCTTTTGATTTGGTATGTAACCTTTTAATAATGACTGCAGAGGTGTTGAAAACAAGATCAATGTGGAGAGATGATATAGTACTGGAATTGGAAGCTTGGGCTGTCTGGACAATACTTGCTTCCATACTGGTCTTAGCTTCTCCTAGCTGTGTGCACTGTTGGTTTACCATTACTTTTCTTGTCCATAATACAGAGGTAGTAATGACTACTAGCTCTCTCCCAGGTTGTTGTGGAGTGGAGTAATGTGTGTGAAGCACTTAGCATAATGCCAGGATTGTGATCCACGTTGAATCAATGCTAGTGATCAACGTGGATAGCTCTGATATCCCGCTTTACCTGTCAACAACGCTGAGGTGTGTTCAGTTGCAAAAGTGGAAGTCAGGCTGTTATGGTAAATACATGTGCTGAATGGGCATAGCTTTGTGGCTGGAAAGAATTTGGGGGAGATTCAAGTTCTGCAGTGGAAGAATTGACAAAATTTCATTTCTCAGACATCATGGAGTAATGAGATAGAGAAGGAGGGGGAAGAATGGGATGATTTTTGAAAACTGATTTATTTTTGAGGCAGAGAAATAGGAGACAAAGACAGACCCAGAGCTTT